ATGTCTAGTATTTTTTAGTCTTTTGCCTTTGCTGTTACTCTGGTTTTTGTTGTTGTTGTTGTTGTCAGCTCGTTTTTGGCCTGGCACTTATTGTAGTTAAGTTTTATGCCGCACATTTTCTTCCGCTTTGCGTGTTGCACGTACTCCTTCCTGCCCCCCCGCTACCCCGCTCCCACTCTTGCACCTCGTTTGTGGTCTTGTGCCCCATAAGCCCTACCATCCCCCCTCTACTATAGTCGCTTTGCACTTAATTCCATTTTCACTTTCTTTAATGATGCTCAATTTTTTGCATCATTAATCTTAAGCGATTTCCAGCTTTGCCGTTGACTGACGTAGCGTCTCAGCGGGCCACGCCCCCTCCCCCCGCCCTCTTGCTGGTCTCATCTGTTGGCCCTAATAAGTATGCTACAAAATTTGTAATTACAGTTTCCAGCTAATTGCCAGCGAAAATAATATTTATATAACCAAGGTTATGGATATTTTTTAAGGGATTTTCAAGGGATGGATTTTCAAAGGATGCTAGTTAGTTGTTTACTATTTTTAGTATTTATACTTAATATTTTCAATTTAAGAAATGCTTAAAATTTATTTAAAAACATTCTTAATTGAATATTTATTTTAATAATCTTCAAGTCACTAATCTTATCTTCAAATAATCTTCAAATAATCTTCAAGTCACTAAGAAAAACAATTTTTAGAGGTAAGAAAATGGGAATCTTTTCTTGAAAATTATTTACTTGATTTTAGGAAAATTCCTTATGTTTTTCTTAATGTTTTCCTACACTGAAAAAGGGGATATACCTACTCGTCAAATACATTTAATTACCTTCTAGTCCCCCCTATTCCTTCCTGAATATATCTCTTTATAAATCAAGAACTAAAAGACAAAAAAAACTTGAAGAATTATCCCCTAAGATATATATTTTCTTTTCTAGACAATTTCATAAATCAAAATCTCAAGTCTTTGGGAAAATATTCAATTAAATTACTTGGCAATTTTTCAAACACTTGCCTTCCAAACACAAAAATTTATTCAATTTCAAGCTGCAACCTCTTTTCTTGAATTTTTCTGTCAACTCATTCAATTCGAAGCGATTGCGATTTATTTTCGATTTTATTTTAATTTTTTTTTTCATTTTTCTATTCTAGGCTGGGGGGAGCTCCAGCCTTGATTGATGAACCCGTCGATTATTAAAGGCCACACTTTGATGCGGTCATGACTCGATGGAGTCGATTGGTACTTGAAATTGATTTGATTGCCCCCCCTCCTCCCCCTCCTCCCTCTCCTCTGGTATATATTGGTTTACTATTTTCTAGGGGGGGGGAGTTGCCCCTTTATTTTTTTTGCTGCCAGAACTTGCATTGTTGATGCTCGCATTTTATTTCATACAATATTTCCTTCCAACTCCTTGTCTCTCTCTTGTTTTTTGGTTTTTTTTTTAACAACTTTTGTGCTTTTGCTACTGCTGTGTTTTTATTTGAAGTTTGCAATAAAATAAAAGCCACAAAAGACCCCAGACGCCACATGAAGCCAGGGGGGATTACCAGGGAGGGAAGGGGGCCAGAGAACTCGGACCAGGACCAGGACACGGACATGGACATGGACCAGGGCCCTTGGCCACAGACACGGAACGCGCAACTATAAAGCAAAAAACCTCATTCATATAATTTATGTGTGGCCCCAAAGGGATGGGCGCGTGATTCGTGACTGTCAGGATAACCCCAAAAAAAAGGGGGGAAAATATAAAAAAATATATAAATATATATACTATATAAAAGCTATATTAATAAAATATATGAGGAAATAAAACTGTATATATGTACTATATAGAAAAATACCTAGTTATTGAACACAAAGTCTGTAAAAGAGGTTCAGATTAAAGATATAGCTATATATAGCTTCTATCTTTCTTAAATATGGACCTGATTTTATCCACAAATGCCATTTATATTATTATCCATCTTTAAGTTAAATATATTACAAATATCTATCACAAAAATTGTCCTTTTTTCTATCTAACAAGTACGTATATAATCGCTCTAATAATACTCCAAACGATAGTAACCATAGATAGTTTTTTTTAAGGAAAATCCCCTATAAAGATAGGCACTAAACAAGTCCAACTTCCCATTAAAAAACTACCTCTATAATCCCCCTGGTAATACCCAAACGATGGTTATATTTAAACCCAAAAAAAAACTATATAGGAATATATTTTATTCCTTCAATAAAAACCTAGCTTTTAAACCTAAAATGCCCTATAACGAAAGGCACAAAAAACCCCTACTCCCCTTTAAAAAACTACCTCCATAATACCCCCAATAATACCCAAACGATAGTTACATCCAACTACTACTATAACTATCCCCTTGAAATAAAAATCGACGAGCCAGAGCTCTTTCTGTTACTTCTGCTGGTTGCATTTTATTTTACAATTTCGTTTCGTCCACGCTTGAATTTATGAATTTCGACTCGCTGCCATTTCTTACCGATCCCCCTAAGCCCCTACGCCACTGCCCCCCATCCATTGTTGGCCCCGCACATATGCGGTTTTATATATTGACACTTAAAATTTATGGGACTTAAAAATCTACAAAACGCTGCCACGTTTTGTCCTGCAAAGTTGGTTTAGAGCTCTCAGCTCTCAGGGTGCAGTGGGTGGTGGGGTGGTGTGGTGCAGTGGCTCACTGGCTCAGTGGTTTTGGCCTCGTGACAAAAGCTTGGCACGCCTTTTGTCCCAAAAAATTTCGAGGCCAAGGGGAAATGTTCCAGGGATTTTTCCCATTTTTTTTTTCGCAAAGGACAGTCAAGGCGGTGAAAAGTCACTGACAACATGGCACAAAAAAAAGGAAAAAAAGAAAAGGTGGCAGCACGAGTGTGTGTGGCGGAAAGTGGAAAAAACTAAGCAGCAAATCGTGTGTGAAATTAACAGGCTTCCCACTACCAGGGTTGTCGCTCTTAGGCAACTATGTATAGATGTATGTAGGGGCTTATAGGGGAGTTCTTTTAACCTCAGAGACCCTGAAGAGAGTAGGGACTTCAAGTACTAAACAAATCTGGCAGTACATTAATTATTTTAAAAATATTAACAGGGTTGCCAAGTCTGTATTTAAAGCAGGGAATATTTATTAAAAAAGAAAATAATTTATGAAACGAGATATAGCCTTTCAAGAAGAGAAAATCAATATATAATAGCAATTGTTATGCCAAACAGGGTTGCCAAGTCAATATATAAAGCAGGAACATTTTATATATTACTTGAATTGAATTTCATTTGGATTAATAAATAAAATGAATAAATCCATCAAGAATATTTAATTTCAATAGAAATTCAAAACCTTACAGGGTTGCCAAGACAATAATGAAAGCAAATTTTATTAAAGAGAATTATAACAAAAAATAAACTCTCCAAAAGTGTTCTAATATTCTAATCAGCCATTTTAAAAACTCTACCAAAACCCACCAGTATTGCCAGCTTGAATTTTTAAAGAAAAAGAAGAAGAAGAGAGACTCTTTGGGTCTCTTTGAAAAGTTGCCCTGCTAATTAAATATAGCTTAAAGTCTATCAAAAATAAATTAATCATTTAACAACCGCAAATTGCCAGAAACTGTGGCTCGCCGGGTGTGGTGTGGGAATGTGGGCTGGCAACTCTGTGTGGTTGCCACGGTGGCAGCCGAAAAAAACAAAAAAAAAAGTCCAACAAAAAGTAGCAAAGCCAAAAAGCCAAAGCCGATGCCGAAGGCACTTTCTATTTCATTTTCATTGCTGATTTCATTCAGTTAATCAGCTTATTGAACTTGAGGTTCAATGCCTCCTCAATGGCAGCGCCTCCAATATCCTAGCTGGGGGTATCCTCTAGACCACCACCACCCTCCCTTCCCCCCTTTCGTATATTGGAAACGAAAAGTTGGCATTTGGGGATTTGGTTTTTAAGCAGTTGCAGCTGCTGCTACATAGAGAGAGAGAGAGAGAGGGATTCCAGAGAATCAAATTCAATTTGCCAGAAGAGCCAAGCCAGCTGTGGCAACTCTGGCCCCGGTCGGTCATCAGCTCTCTCACAGATTTCAATTAATTACGCAATGAGCTGCAGGTTTATTTTTCGCTTGGCCAGCTAATCCAGTTTACTCCCCAAAGTAATGGTTATAAATTGACCTTGTTGCTTCCTGATTTCCAATCAAATGGTTGAGAATTGGAGGAGTATTTTGGTTTATAAAAGGGGTTTTAAGGGGGTATTTTTAATATTTTTAACTTGTATTAGTTAATAAAGGTTGAGAGAGTCTTTAAAATATTTTTAAGAGGTTTAAAATAAATTAATTTTACTATTTCTAGTCCTAATTTGAAATAGTTTCTTTTAAAAAAAAGGGCTTTGGAGGCTATATTCATTATTCTGATTTTCTTATTAAATGTTGGACCTTTTTCAGGGGGTTTTCATGGGGTTTTCATGGGTCTTTCTGGGTATTTTCATGGGATTTTTTTAATACTCTTACCTTGTTCACAGTCTGGGTTTTTCTGGGTCTGGGTTCTGAGTCTAGGTTTTCAAAACTTTCAAATTTTTTGAAAAATAATGACATTTAAGATTCTGGGCCTTTTGCTTCTGGATCTTTTTTTCCTAACATTCTCTTATATATTTCTCTTATCTTTTTAATATTTTTGAGCTTCTTTTCTTTTTAGTTTCAAGGATGTTTCAAGGGTCAAAGGTGATTCACAAAGGAATTTAAGGTTTAAATAATTTTACCTACTAATTTTTAATTTTTAAATAGTTTTTTAAAAATTTTAAAGCTTGTTTCGAGTTTCAAAACATTAAATATTTTAAAAATCATTTACTTTAATATTTCTAAGCAAAAACTTTAAATATTTCTAGAACTCTTGATTGAATTTTAAACTTTACTTTACTTTATTTTCTCTTTCCCTATTTGTTCTCAGTGTATTTTTGTTAGAACGTGTGTAGCTAGGGGCAAGTGGGGGGATGTGAATACTTGGAAAAGGATTATCACTCACCTGAGAGGGCTGAGTGGACAGCAAGTCGAAGGACTCCTCATGTTGCTGCTGCTGCTGTGGCACTGTTGTTAGTTGTTGTTGTTGTTGTTCCTTGTGTTGTTGTTGTTGTTCCTTGTGTTTTTGTTGGTGCTGTTGTTGTTGGAATTGCTGTTGATAGTGCTGCTGTTGTTGGTATTCATATTGCTGTTGCATTTGATATTGCAATTGCTGATACTTCAAGTGTTGTTGTTGTTGTGCTGCTTGTTGTTGTTGTTGTTGGCCATGCACTAGAGAAGAGCAATAGAGAACGATTGCCAGCAATTGGATCGCATTGGCAACTCTGCGTGCTGTTTTATTTATTGCTGACGACGGCATGTTGCCCGCCCACCGCCGAACCGCCTCCTCTCTCGCTCTCTATAGATATATCCTGTATATCCTTTATAGAAATACTATATATATATGTGTGTATATCCTCTATATAGTGCCTTGCTCTGGTTTTGTTCAGACTCCTTTTTATCCTTTTTTTTTGGTCTATTTGCTGCTGCTACCAGTTGCAAGTTTTTCGTCCTCCACGTCCACCACTGCAAGAAAAACATTTTCGTATAAAAATAAAAAAATAAAAAAAAAAACCCCAGTCCAGAGATAAATTCAACTTGTTCTCAAGTGTCAGATATGTATGTATGTATGTGTGTGTGTGCTTTTTTGGCAACAAAAATATACAGAAATTCGGCAAATAGTTTGTTTATTGCTTGCCACTCGATATAAAGCCGAGACTCGCACATTTTCCGGCATTTTCTTTCCGCAACTTCCTCAAAAAGCAATTTCAACTTCCCAAAAATAAAGGTGTAAACTAAAATTGCCCAAAAAGGGAATCTGCGAAGCTTAATGTTTTCGGTCTTTAGACTGTGAGAGAGAGTCTACAAATATTAGAAGGGGTTTCACTTTTTTGGGGGAATATTTATACAAAATACTGTATATATATATCTATAGGTGATCTTTAATTAAAATATGTATATTTTATAAAATTTTTCTCATTAATTCAGTAAGGATTGGCGAAGATATACATAAAAGACGCTTTAAAAGATTTTTGGTTACCTTTCACATAAAAGTTGCATAAAAATCTTTACAAATCGTATTTTTTATAGATGTATCGATATTTTTAGAGGAGCTTTCTTTTGAAAAAGATAGGGATTCAATATATGACATCTTCTATACCTTCTATCTTCTATACCTTACCAATTCTTAACCGATTCTTGAGAAAAATATATTTATTTATTAAGATACTTCAATAAACCTCATATATAACCTGAAAATATTGCTATCGATAGATTTCAGAATTTTTATAGAGATTTTCCTTTGTAAAAATATAAGTTTTTTAATATATAGCACCTTCCTATATGGATATCTTTGCCGTCACTTATTTAAATCTTAAAAAAAATGGTTTTAAGTATAGATATGTTAATTTCCTATCAACAAAAATATTAAAACCTTTAAAAACCAATCTTTTTTTTTAATTTTTGAGATCTTTTATGGGAAATCTCCTTGAAAAAATACTGTTTGTGGTATTCTCCAGTTTTGTATGTCTATATCTTCGTCAACTTTACAGGAATTCTTATGGAAATTGGCTTAAAAGACTTCTGATGAGACTTTCTACAAGACTTTTTCATCCAAATCTTGAAACAAAAGCTTATATTAGCAATTATTTTAACGATAGGTATCGATTTATATGAATGAATGAATTTTTAAACATATATTAAATAATTTAAGAAGTCTAATTTAAGAAATATCTTTCAAACAAACCAAAAGCCTTGCCACTTTTCACAAAAAGTCATCCAGACTTCAAGACTTGAAATGGAAATTCTTTAAACTTTCCCTTTTTCTCGCAAAACTGTACAAATTATTAAAAAAAACCAACATATGTTTCAGCAAAAGGTAATGGAATTTTTAAGCAAAAAATACTATATATTTGAAGAAGAGGAAGGGAGAGAGATGAAAGTAAGGCACAAGAGAGGGCTAAGAAAGGCAAAAATATGTTGGAAAAGTAGTGGAATGTATCATTTAAATATTCCATGGAAATAATTGTTGCCACAAATGGAAATAAGAAACGGAAAATGGAAAATGGAAATGGAAAATGGAAGCTGGAAACGCACAAAAACAAATAATCATAAAAATGCACAATTAAAAACAAAAGAAAATGCCAAATAATGAGTGCAATCTCATCGTCTCTGCGTGCAAAAATCAAAAATATAATTTTCAATAATTAATGCAGAAGAAGAAGAAAAACGTAAAGAAAAAAAAAACAATTAAATTTTACTTCTTATTTTCTTTCAATTTCAATTTCACTTTTCAATTAAATTCCAAAAGAAAAGGCAATAAAATGATCAAAACAAATGCAAGATAATCATTTTTTAATAATGAGGATGAGCTTTTTTTTCTCTCTTTCTATTGTTGGTGCTATTTCTGCTTCTTTCTTTTGTTTTGATTGTTTTTTTTTAAATTTTTGAATATCTATGCTCTTTGATTTTTTTCTTAACAAGTTTTAACTTGTCTGCTTTTTTTCTCTCTCTTTCTTAAGATCTCTCCTTCTTCTTCGTATAATCATTATTTTCAATAACATAACTGTTAAAAAGGGGGAGCCCGAGAAAGAGGACATAAAGATAAGAGGCTGGGGAATGGAGCAAAGTTTTACGGTTAATAGGAAAAAGGCATAGCTACACGAGGGAAAAGTAGATTAAATAGCCCTAGCTACACTTTCTTATATTATTTTATAATCTTTTAACTTTTATACGACTCTAACTCTTTTATTCTTAAAATCTTCTACTATTTTAATATTTTATTGTTTTATTCTTTTACTCTTTTAACTCTTTTACCCTTTTCTTCTTTTATTTCACTATTTTTTTTATATATTTACTCTATTATTTCTTTTATTTCCCGTTATAACCCTTGAATCTCATCCTGGAATGGCCCATAACTGCCCTGCCTGCGTTAACAAACTTGTTGTTTCTGTTATTTCCGCTTCTGCCTCCCCACCTCTCCCCCTTTTTTCTTTATTTCCGCCGCCATTTTCCCGCCCCTCATCCCCCCCTCCCCCCTCTTGTGGGGCGTCAATGATAGCGCGAATGATACTTTGTGTACACACTTCATTTGCACAAGTGTCCGGCCAACCAGGCGTGCAATGATCATTGCAGTTGCATGTCCTGTTTCTGTTGCAGTTGCAGTTTCCAGTTAAGGGCCAACACTGCGTATACGCAACATCATGCCGTTGGCCCTTTTTTTCACCCTCCCCACCCCCCTGTCGGTCAATAATCATCGTTATTATGCCAATCAACGTTCAGATGATTCATAAAAAATAATGCCAATCGACGGGGTTTTTCAGTAATCCGCGAAAGAACAAAAAACGGGTAAACATCAGAAATGGGCTTAAACAGGACACGATGTTTTTTCAAGTGTATGCTTGGAAAAACTCTGCAGATTGATGGCAAATATTAAATATAATTACGGACTAAAAAATAGGGCACTGAAATTGTAGTTATAGTAGGAAAATGTAGGGGTTTTATTAATTTAAGAATAATAGGTGGAAAATACTAGTTTAAGAAATGAAAATAAATATAATAATAAATGGTAATAATTACCAGAAAATAATAGAAAATATAAGAAAAATAATAAAACTTTAAAGGGTTGGGAACAATTAAAAAAAAGAAAGAAAAAGAAAAAAAAAATAGATGTTAGAAAACCTAACCCTCCTAAAGGAAAAGAGGTTAGAAAAGAATTTCTAATTACAGTGTGAAATATGATGTATTATAAGGGTTAAATAAAAAAAATAATTATTAAAAAATCACACTCATTTTAAGCTTTAATCATAATTAAAATAAAATAAAAATTTAATAAATAAATTAATGAATAATAAATAAATGAATAAATAGTAAACTATATACATAGATGTATGCATATACTTTACTAGATATTCAGATAGATAGTAGCAACGTATGTAGATATTATTTATGTAGATATATAGATATGTAGATAAATAGTGTCAACTACCTTCAATATTACCTTTAAAACCACCTCTAATATGCTTACTATTTAATAGCATTAAAAAAGACCAAATTTTCATCAAAACTAATACTTCCACCACCTATTTTCATTGAGTGTAACTTTTTCAAAGCCAAAAACCAAATCCGGCAGTTAAAGCTCTTCTTCTTTCGTGTTTATTGGCCCTCTCGTAAAATTGATAAACAATAAATGGGATATTGATGTGCTGCCTCCCTCTCCCCCCCACTCTCCCCTTCCTTTGTGGCCCAAAAGTGACGTCAGGCCTTCGCATAAAGCACTTTAATGGGCCACCCCAAAAAAACTCCGCCAGAACCAAATCCAATGGCGTCAACTGGCTTTTTAATGCCCGGCCAGCTACCAAAGAAAAAAAAAAAATACCCAAAAACGAGCATAAAACTGCAAGCCGAGTGTAAAATTTATGATAAAAACGTGCGGCACTGATAAGAGTGACCAGGGTGGGCGGCAGTAGAGGCGTGGCCAGGCAAATGAAATGGCCAGACGAACCAGGGCCACCCTGATGCTTGTTACCGTAATGGCTCTTCTTCTTTTTCGCTCTTCTAGTTTTCTTTCAAGTCCGTTTTGTTGGTTAGATTTGGGCCTACCCACGGCATGCACTATTTCCCCTTTTGTAACCACCATTTTATGCACTTTTCGGTAATAAAATACGCTTTTTAAAGCAATTTAAACTCACATGTTGTTCCGTTAGCTGCCAAGTAACTGTTTCACGTGCGCACCAAAATTAAACACGTGTACACCCGCGCACTGACAAACTGGAACTAGAAACTTTTCATTGATCTCTTGAGCGCGGCGGCGCAGCGGCGCAGCAGCCGATTCTAATGAGAGGCTCACTGGAGGGAGAGAGTGAGCGCCATTTCTGAGCGTATGGCAGGCGAGCCTGACAGGAGAGGGGGGGAGGGGGAGTGGAGCGAGTGAAAATGCACGTGCACTGATATTCTGGAACTAGGAGCTTTCCATTGATCTGGCCATCTCTCCAGCTCAGTGGCCCAGGAGCGGATTTTAAGGAGAGGGAGGGAGTTAGCGCCATTTCTGAGCGTATGGCAGGCGAGCCTGACAGGGAAGGGGGAGGGGGAGTGGAGAGAGTGAAAATGCACGTGCACTGATATTCTGGAACTAGGAGCTTTCCATTGATCTCTCCAGCTCAGTGGCCGAGGAGCTGATTTTAAGGAGAGGGGGGGAGGGAGGGAGGGAGAGTGGGAGTGCCAGTTCTTAGATTATGGCAGGCGAGCTTAACAGGGGAGGGGAAGGGGAAGTGGTAAACGGAGATATTATAATTACACGTGCACTGATATACTGGAACTTTGAGCTTAAGGAGAGGCTTTCTGGAGAGAGAGAGGGCGTGCAATTTCTCAGCTTACTGCAGCCGCTCCTGAAGGGGAGAGAGAAGGAGAGAGAGAGAGTCAAATAACACGCAGGTGGGAGAACTTTTTTTCACTCCACCTTTCTATCCATTTATGGCTCTTCTCCAGTGCTTGTCAAACTTTCACTTGCTCGAGGTTTGATTTTCTTT